CTGGGCGGCCCCGCACCAAGTTCTCGGCCGCGCAGCTGCAGGAGCTGGAGCGGAGCTTCCGCGAGCAGCGCTACATCGGCGCCGGCGAGAAGCGGCGCCTGGCCGCCGTGCTGAACCTCTCCCAGAGCCAGGTGAGCGCGGCCCGGGCGCACCGGGCCGGTCTCCGCCCTCCGCCCGAGGGGGCAGACGAGCCCCCCCGCGGCCTCGGCCCTCGCAACCCCTCCTAAAAACTGCGGGAGCGGAGAGGAGAGGCGTCCCCCGCCCGTGTTGGCGTTGGTAGGCACCTCATGATCATCGCGGGGACGGGGACAGGGAGAGCTCCTGCAGGCGCGGAGGGTCGGGCCGCCTGTCAGCCTTATCCCTCCGGCAGAGCGAACTTGCATCCCTGCTTCAGCCGGCACGGCTCTTCTGTCAGCCGCAGATTTGTGTTAAATCGGGGACAAATACGCGTATGGAAAACGGTGAATACAAACTTAAAAGGTGAAACCTCATCAGAGGTTAAAATACTTGCATAACCAGTGGAATTTCCATTTTCAGGCTAATTCTTCCTTAAAATTATGTATATACGTGGTAGTATTGCAGGAATTCTCTTGGAACAGAACTAGCTCTTTTTATCCCACTGAACTACTCTTCAGTTACAGTCCTGGTCCAAATCTGATCTCTGAGTAGCTGGCTTGCCATACATGATGGAGTTGTCACAGCTTGATTCCTCCTCATGGCTAGACAATTACTCCACACTGAATATAGATCAGTGTTATTAACCCTAAATATTATAACTGTTAATATATTCCGTCACTCGGATAGTAAGTAACTTCAAGATGTATTACTATATGGAAAAGGGACAAGTGGGTTTGTTCTTGACTCTTTCCTTCTTATCCTCAGATAAAAACCTGGTTTCAGAATCGTCGTATGAAGTTTAAACGTCAGACTCAAGATGCCAGGGTGGAAGCTCTTTTCTCAGGCTTGTTGTTGCCCTATCATTGTTACCCAGATATTTCTACCTCCAGCTATTCTCACGGGATGGATGTCAATGTCTCTTCTACCTCTACTGTTTCCCTTCACCCAGCTATGCCAACCCCTGCCTTGTTGTTACCTTCTGTTCCAGCTCATTCCCTTCAGCCAGTTTTGCCAAGTCCAGCTTTACTGTTGCCTCCCAGCCCAGGATTATCTTGTTACTCTTCTGTAATTCCAGCAATGACTCTAACAGATGACCATAAAAGACCGAGGTTCCAGCCATATCTTCCTTCCTGTTAAAAATGCCAAAGATTACCTGTGATCTAAATAAGAACTGCTTAATATCTCTAAGAGTAATTATTTAACTTATTTTGTTGTATTAAATAGATTGAATCAATTTTTTTTTAATCAAGTCTTGAATTTTGTGTTAAAGGAGAAAAGAATGTCTGTATGAGAGAAGTAATACTAAGGGTGGAAGTGGAGGACTTGAAGCTTCCCTTATACCTACTGTCTTAGCTATGCTATATTGAAACATCTATATAAATTTTCCTATCCAAAGGTTTGTTTTCAGAAAACAACCTATAGTCATGTGAGGACCTCCACTGAAAAAGAGGAGTACTCCTTACACTTGCATTTACATAATAATTATATCACGTAATAGATGAAGTGTCAAAAACTTTGACCATTCTACTTGAGCGTCGATATTAAAGGAAAGATTTTCAAACTACAGCAAACACATTGGAATGAAATGGTACCAAAGGTGGCAGCCCTATGAACAAAAACGAACAAGTTTTCTGATATTATCTTTTATCTATATATTCTGCACCATTCCTGAAGTGATCTTCCCTGTGTGTTGATGTAGATATTCCACTTATGCATTTAAAAAGAGGTGAAGCTAAGGAATTAATTGGCAAGTGTTATTTTGATGCCAGTGTCAAACATAATTGCAACTTCAATTGCTGGTGAAAACATTGGAGTTGTTCACAAGTTTAGGTCTCCTGGGACACTCAAAAAGTGTTTCGGTATTTCCTTCTAAAGCTTCAGCTGTACCTTGGCAGCCTCACTCATTTTAAACTGCGGGATTCTGCTAGGCTTGCTGTCAGGAGCACTCAGGGCTGTTCCTAAAAATCCCAAAGCAAGCTTTCTGGAGAATGGCAAAACTGAGCCTTTAGGGAATAATGAGAAACAAGAGATCTTGCATCAGCATAAAGCAGGTGTGATCACATCTCCTTCCCTGCCCTCGATCATCCTAACCTGCTTGCCAGGTGACTGTTAGACTACTTAGCAATTGCCAAGAGTGGAGGAAAAAAAAAAATTAAAAAAACCCACACAACCCACCAAACACCACACCCCTCCCTTTCATGGAGAGATTGCTCATTGGGAAAAAAAAAAAAAAAGTTGACAAACAAGGCTTACAACAGCCTTGTGCCTTGCTTTCCGTTCTTTCTCCTTCCATTAACATTTGCGATGTGGGGCTAAAGAGAGCAAAGTTGAAATCAGTCTTTGGTATGCAGCGTCATCCTTTCACAAGTGACCAGCCTCCCGGCTATCAAATCGAAACTCTTGGCTCACTGGACTGGAGCGTGGGAAGGGGGGAAAATTTAGCAATCAATTTAGTTTCTAACGCATTTAGAAGACCTTTCACGTGAATGAAAGAAACTTCATTAAAGTCTGAAAGATCAAGAAATAAGAAGTGTTAACCTCTTTCAGGAGAAGAGTGAAAACTGATCCCAGGAAGAACTGAAAAAAAAAAAAACAACAAAAAAAAACAAAAACAAAAAAAAACCCCCCCCCAAAAAAACAACAACAACAACAAAAAAAAAAACCACAATTGCTAAAGCAAAAACTTGAGCTACTCCCTTTAAACGTTTCTTCTAAAGGGTTCAACTGACTAAAAAAAAAAATGTTCAAGGTATGCAATTATCATGGGCATATAGTGGTGAAACAAAGGCCAGATTTACAGATTAAAATCCCACTTAGATGATATGGCTATGAACTGAACACAATTATGCTCTTAAATGTTTTACAAAGTATTTGTTTCAGTAATTGTAAAACTTTAATTGTTTAATGCCTGTTTAAAGACACACCGACTTAATTAACACTTGTGATTAACACTGTTGATACTTTCAGGTGAAGCATGGGACTGAAAATACTAAATAGTAAATTGATTAATATTCAAGAAGAGAAATTCACCAACAGTTCATCCTTCTTCCTGGAGGATGCACTTAGCCAAAAGTATAGTGCAATGCAACTGTTGAGGTCCAGGTTTCCAAACACACTCAACAACATACAGACTACATGTCAGCATGAATGTAGGAAAGTCAGACAAGATGTATTAAAAAATCTAAACCCTCCCCAGTTACCCAAAACCTGAGTTCAGGTGACCATTGCCGTATACACTGCACCAGTGCAACCTCTATTGAGTTGGCACATATAACTGTTCAGGTTTATATACATAAATATGTACGAAAAACTGGGGATGTGCAATGAAAACCAGTTTCTTAACCTGCTCATTTCAAATTAAATGTCTAGTACCTTTGCCCTACACCACGGGCAATTTGGCAAAAGCAAGTTTCTGCTACTGCTTTTCTGCCTCCAGTTCCCTTCCAGTTTACTATCTTTTGAATGAAGATAGACTACCAATATTAAAAAAATTGATAACCTATCAAACAAAAAGTTACTGAGTGGCATCACATCCAATAAATTTTAATATCAGTTAGTGCAAATATAAATTTATTCCTTTTCACATTTAACTTAAAACAATAAAAACATACTTTTCCAAATCAAACGAGATACTGAGCACAAAATAATACATTAGAGCATACAACACCTTTCCCCTTTGCCTAACGACCCCTCCGCCCCTTTTTCTCCCACTATAATGCATATACAGGGTGGCATTGGTTGTCCATTTTGTTCTGAATAACCGGATGGAAAGAAGGATGAGGAATAAAGTGTTGATGGTAGTACGGCAGCTCACGTGCCATAAAGTGGTAGGTGCTTTGCGATGTGTCATAGCCGGGAAAAGAGAAGCTGAACTGCACAGCAGGGACCGAGGTGAAAGGCAGGAGTCTCTGGTGCTGTGGAGCAAAGGGGTAGTGGAAACCATCCTGAAACAGGACTGGTGGGGTCCCCGGAGGGTAGCCGTAGAGTGGAGCAGGAGACACGAGGGTGTGCTGGTGGTCCTGTATCTGCCTCTTCAGTTTCATCCTCCGGTTCTGAAACCAGGTCTTAATCTGAATAACAAAAAGATCGGGGTGGAAGAGAGAAATCAGGGACTTTGCTTAAAAATAACATGCGAACTATGAACAACTATCAGCTGCTTTTGCCGTTTTACTCCACTTGAATTGACAGAGTTGGACTGACGCTTTAGTCTTAGTCAACTGACGGCAGAGGATCTGAGGGTTGTAGAGGGGAAAAGTGTCCGAGTTCAGCGATTCTAGATTAATCACTTTAAGTATTTAAGACCATATATATAAGCTTGCAAGGTCTACGCATATGGCTGTACATCAACGACAAGCAGTTTACCTTATTAAGAAATAAATGAACCTTGATACCTCTCCAGTAGAAAGTGCCCCCAAATTCCACGGGTATTAACTCGTTAATCCCCGTGGGCTTTCCACAGCCCCTGCTAAACCCAGCTGAAGACCGCTGTCCGTTCAGCGCAGGGACGGCCGACGGATGATCGCAAAGCCTGGCTGCCCCTGCCCGACGCGGGCGGGAAGGATCCGCTTCCTCCGGGACCCACCTGGATCTCCGAGAGCTGCAAGGCAGCCGCCAGCTTTCTCCGCTCCGAGGCCCCCAGGTACTTCTGGCGCTGGAAGGTCTTCTCCAGCCGGCAGACCTGCTCCGAGGTGAAGGCTGTCCGTGCCCGCCGCTGCCGCTCGCGGGTCCCGCCCGCTCCCCTCCTGCGCTCTCGCTCTCGTAGCCCGAGGACTCGTCGGCGCTCAGCCAGCCGCCGTCGGGGGCTGCAAAGGAGGGAAGGGGCGGCGGTGAGGCCTCTTCCCCCGGCTGGGGGTATGCCTCCGGCTGCCCTTGTCCTGCCGGGCCGTTGTACCGACGGGAATCGAAGTTCCTTATGTGTGTTCCCCGGCCCGTTCCCCTCGTGAGCCTCTCTCTGTCCCCTCCTCACTCACCTGACTCCGATGGGCACGAGTCGGTGGGCTCCGGGGGACTGGCTCCGTCCCGCTCCGCCGCGCAGTGCTCGCTGTCCGTAGGCTGGCTTGGCCGCGGCTTTCCCCGTCGGGGTTCGGCTCTCATGAGGAGGGGGCTGCTGCCGAGAGAGGTGGGGGCGCGAGGAGGTGGTGCGCAGCAGATGTGGGGCCTGACCCCGTGGACCTTCGTCTCTGCCAAAGGGATTTCGGCCTGGTTCATGGCGTAGAGGGGCTGGGGGACCGCCGGCCTCGGCCCGCTCTTATACGGGCGCTCTGGTCCCGGGCGGGCTCGTTTGCAAGTGTCAAACCACATCAAAGTGGGAATCGAGCAGAGATAACAGCTGCCAGCGAGGAGGAAAGTTCACACGTCTGGCAAATGTCTACAACCCCTGGCTCCAGCGTGTCTGCGGGGCCGGGGAGACCCCCTTGAAGTGCAAACCTGCCCCTCTCCCCCGGAGGCAGGGCACGGGCAGACCCAGCCCCGCAAAGGGGCGTTTAAAGATACCGACGGTGCCGATAAGAGGGAGGTTTTACCCACTCCCTTTTCAGCCGCGGGGTCCCGCATTGCGCAGGTACCCGAAACCAGGGATGCGGGATAACGTAACGCCGGCAGGGCCCGCCAGCCCCGCCCCGGGGAAGCTGTGGAGACTGGCCTCCCTGGGAAAAGCCGTGGGGGGCCGCGATCAAGAAGTCCCTATCCCCGAGGCTGAGCCCTCACCTCCGGGGACCGCGGCCGGGCTGTGGGGTTAGCAGGGCCGCGGGCCCTCTCAGCTTGAACTTGGCGCCGTCCGTCTAGCCAGAAAACTCAACCCATCTCCCGAAGAGTTTAGCGATCAAAGCACTAAGTGAGCAGCGAAGCTCGCACCTCATCAACTTCAAACTATCCCTAATCCACACGCTGCTTCCCGAGGACTATGCCCTTGTAATGCAGGGAGGACACCAAGGCATCTCCCCAGCTAAGCCAGTAGGGGAAAGGCCGGCTTGTGAAAGGGAAATCCCGGCAGCTCAGCTCGTCTTCGGGCTCCTCTCCAACTTACACGCAACTTTTAGCCATCCTTGTGAAAAAGACCGCACCGACCATCATCCCACTGGCAGTAACGATATGTGAACAACACACAATCTAACTCTCGATGCTTCGAAAAAACTAGGGGAAGCCATCGCTGTAGCTGGGTAAATGCATTGACAGGACCTCAACTTCCACTAAACTCCTCGGGATGCACAACTGAAAGAAGTGGACACCATATACCCAAGTCTCGCAGGGCAGAAGCGTGTTTCTTTCTAAGAATAAAAATAATCTCCATTCCCACACGTAAGAGTAGATGCAAGTTGTCTTTCTCTAAAACAAAAAATAATAAAAAAAAATAAGTCAAACGCCCCAACCAAACCGAAAACCAACTCCCCTCAAAACTCCCCAATTTATAATGAGACACTAGGGGAGAAAATAGTATTCGTCATGTTCATTTTCATTGTTTCAAGCTTTCCCGTAACTCGATGGCCACCAAAATGGACAGTGCGTTATCGACCCCTCCCGCCCCCACAAAGGCTACGGCGGCTTATCCCAGCTGTGGCCCCAGGTGAGCGATAAAGGCCGGGCACTAGAGCAATGCAAACACCTTGCCAAGCCCACAGAGCCCAGAAGCTGGATTCCTCCTGGAGCTTTGCTTGCAACACCAGCCCCTCAGGGCAGGGACGGGAGAGGCTGTACTCGCCTCAGCGCAGCCCTGATAGAGAGGTCGGCCTGCTCCTTATGGGGTGCAAGGCACAGCCACTAATGGAGGTTCAGTTACATCTGGCGCAAGACTGTCATTTTAGCTTACATGCACAAGCCAGCGCAAATGGCCAAGTGGTTGAACACTGAGCTGGAGACCAGACTCCCTCCCCGGGTCAGAAACACATACCTGAGTGTCACTGACCCAACAAAAACCACTGTAACAGGACAGCGTTTAAACCCCATAGCGTTTCCTAGACACATTTCAGTCAAACAGGGATAGGTGACTCACTGTTCCCAAAAAAGCTGAGTGCCTGCATATTAATTTTAATAACATATGGATTTAATAACTATTCCTAAACCTGCGCATGGACTCTTTTTTTTCCTGCAGCAAATGCACCACCATACTCACTACATCCATCTTATTTCAGAGCAGCTATTTCTGAAGAGCCCCATCTGTGAACAAATCCAAGCAGAGAAGCTCAAGCTCCACTTTGTGTAAGTTCACTCACAGCAAGCTGTTCCTTGTAATGTATTGAGTACTATCCGCAGAGCCTAGCTGCCTTGCCAAAACCAACTTTGGAAGTAGTACCTGAAAACCACTGGAATTCAGAAGCTGCTAAGCTGAATACACACCTGCCCAGCAAGCATTGCGCTCACCCCAGGGCAGCCTCCTCACTGTCTCTCCAGCAGATGAAACCTATGCCAAGCCAGGTAGCCCTGGGTCCCCTGCAGTCCCCCCACCCAGGCACTAACATCTAGTGAGATGCTTCATCCCTACTGCCGAAATAAAACCAGGCATTTGATGACCATTCAGTGCTGTGCCCAAAGAGACCAGCATGCTCATTTGCACTTATACATATTCTGTTTTATGGAGGAAAACCCTTGAATAACTGCTGCCATTTCCTTTCTGTCATTTGACTGAGGACATAGGGAAGCAGCTGACCTGTCCCACTGCTTGCTGAAAGTCATAAAAACTGACTTCCCCGCCCCCCCCTTTTTTTTTTTTTTTAGATTGGAACCCAATCCAAATTGCCTGTTGAATAAGATGTTTATACCCAACCCTAGTATATTCCCCTTGCACCCGGATGAAGGTAGCTGCATCTGCGGACCACAAAACCCTGGAACAGATGGGGAAGGGGTAGGAGGTGTTATGTGGCTATTGTAGTTCCCATCAGAAAGAGGTGGCAGCTTGAGAAAGTTGAAAACTTTCATGACAGTGGGTAGATAGAGGTTCTGCAGCTGTAGTTAAAGCCTCCCCTCACCTTGCAGAAATATGGTGCTGATAGGAGGCATAAATTTACTTCCACTCAATTATTTTTTTTAATCACTTGAAACTTTTTGTATCATTCAATTGATACATAACCATGACCAAAAACAAATCTAAGTTTTTAGAGAAACTAATGTAATTTCATGTAAAATTTTATATAACTAGAACTTGGGGATACTGTAGCATCTTGGAAAATACATGTATTTTTCTTAGATTATTTATATTAAGCATATAGTGGACCCATATCTCCAAATCATATTTCAAAATATTTATTGTTCTATATTTGCACATAAGCCCTACAACCATAATAAACATGCTTGCTTCGATAAATTTACTGATAACTTATGTGCACTTGTAACTTAGTATGATACCCTGAAATTTAGGTGCAATGATTAATGCCAGGATGTGAGAATTACAGCTAAGGCCATCAGGACAAAGTGCTCTTTTCATGCTAATTCTACAAGACTTCCAGGGACAAATGGTAGATTCATCTCACTGGTACATAATGGCAACATTTCTTTTGGGGCTTTGTGCACACACAGAAAGTATAAACCCATGAGAACAGGCAGGACTGTAGCAGCTTTACATGCATGAAGATATTTGTTGGGGGGAAGGTTCAGCCTGTTTTCTAGGCTGCAATGTTTCCTGCACCAGTTACTAGAAGCTCAGCCTCTACTAGAAGCTGAAGTACTTGTGCTCTTCAAGAACACCGCTGGTGTGGCAAGTCCTTCAACATACCATTACACCTGGTTTTATGTCACAGTGTAAGAAGCAAACAGCCAGAAACTGGAAAATAGAAGAATGCTCCTTCTCAACAAAAACACTTTCTAGAATAATCGGACAAATATTCAGATTCCAAACTTTCCTTCAGCTACCATGTTAGTAAGAAGTAGCCCGTGAAAAAAAACAGCATACTAAGCAAACTATCACAGCATTTATCACCGATTAAGAGCTGAGGTAGCAGGTCACCAGGCCTGGGACCTGCTGAAGGTAAGAGTTACTGGCTCCATCACAGGCAGACCTCATATATCTTTCCGAAAAGCACAAAGGTTTCAAAGTCTTGGCAAAACTGGAGAAGTGTAGATAACAGAAGATGCAGTAAGAACAACTACAATGCCACCTCGCCCGCCGAGGGAAAAAAAAAGAAAGCAGCAAACAAAACGTAACACATCCAAACCCAAAAACCCCACTAAGTTTAGCTGCACAAACAGGCAGCAGATTTTTAGGAGAGTCTGTGGTACCCCTTCAGAGGTAAGTAAGCTGACTTACTGCAGGGAACGAGGTTAACATTGCTGAAAGCAGCACAGACACAAGATGTTTTGCCCTTCTCCAGCCGGGGGCCTAGAACTCGCAGGAGGGTAGCCAGCTTCAGCGCCCTGGCCCCGGCCCCAGGAGCCGCGGCCGGTGGGACAATTGGTCCCTGTTTGTACCCTCCACTGCTCCCCTTTGGAAATGCTAACTAGGTTATTCAGCGCCTCCTTTGATGTCCTGATAGGTGCTATTAGATAGTCAATTAGGCATCAACGAGATCGATTGTTTGGGAATAGCCGCTTTTCTGTTTGAAGCACCCGCGAACACCATCAGAGCCATCGCCCGGTCGCTCCTTTGCCCAAGGAACAATGCGGGCTAACACTCCATAAATAACAAATGCTACTGACTCACTCGGCAGCGCTGCACCCTCCTCCCTCGCAGCTCACACGCTGCAAGCCCAGATATTCCTATTCAGCAACTGTGGGGGCAAACACGTGCTTTGTATTAAAGGCAGTTTATCGGGGAAATCTCATTCAGTTCTTTTGCGCAACTAATGGACAAAGCGCCTAGATAAGTTAAGTACAAGTTAGCTGGAAACAAAATAGTGCTTGAATTCCCATGCACACCGTCACACGTTGCCTGAGGAGTTGTGACACCTCCGCAGTTGTTCAGAATTGCCCAGGCAAAACAACTAAGCACTAAAATGCTTAACCTACCTGAGTACCAAAGAGCTGCCGGGATTAGCTCCCTACTAATTACCATTAGAAGACAACACTAAAACGAAGCCTAGAAATTTAAGAAACAACTATAAAGGAAAAGCAATAAAGTCTTCACAAGGAATAACTCAAGACTGAAAGATCTCTCCTCTTTTTTCCTGCCCCCTCTCCCCTTCAGTTGGATTTATCAAGTTAATTGTCATCTAATTGCGTATCAAAGAAAGAGATAATGGGCAGCAATTAGATGTAATGGCCAGCCAGCGCGAGATCTCTCCCGATTAGCGCACAACGCCGAATAACTGCACCTGGTTTGTAAAGAGGACCCTGGAGTGGCTCCACGGTGTCTGGGAGCTGCAGGGGGGCAATTCCCCGGCCCTATTCTCAGTCCTCTGTCGGTTGCGCTCACCAAATTGGGACAGGCGTTAAGGAGCGCGGGCTGCAGAGGGCTCCCTGCCATTACCGCGGTGCTAATTCAATCAAGTTGCTCCCCCTCCGCGCACACACTGCAGGGGAGAAAGACTTTGAAGTTAGTGCTCTGGCAATTTTCCCCTCCCATCCCCTTTTCCTCCCCTGGGAGCCCAGTTTCTAGGTTATACAGCCTCTTCCTCGAGATCCCCAGCTAATCGACTCAGTTGTGGTTTTTTTTTTTTTTTCCATTCGTAGCCGACTTACAGACAATGCTTTGTCTTGCCGGAGAGCGTTCCGGTACTGATGGTTATTGTGATGCGATTAAAGACACAAAAGGAAGTGCTAGAAACGAAGGGGGCGCTCAGCCTCGCTGGGGGAGCATCCCGGGAGCAGGTTATCTGCAGGGCTGCTGGGCGGGCAGCCGATGCGGTGCCAGAGCAGGATCTGGCGAGGGGCTGCCAGCGCCCAGGGGTCCTGCAATGGCACTAACGCACCTTTATTGCTGCCAGGGTTAAATCACGATGGATGAGAAATTCAAACAAGCAGGAAAAACACATGAAGGGTTGTCTGGGTTTCTCTCAAATCAAAGATAAAACTTGCAACCTCGTTTAGGTGACGGAATTCGACCGCTTGAGCAAAAATGAAATTGTTTCATATACAATTTTCTAGACCACTGGAATGCAGTCTTTCTAGAGAAAGACGATCTTTGCAAGTAGAAGAGGAACTATCACGTAGATATTCGGAGGAATCTGATGCTATCAGGGGCGCGGCCAAATGAACATCACCTCTTGCTTTCATTTGAGCAATTCTCGGGAAATGGGACAATATGTGAAAGCTAAGGCTGCCAAAACACTAGCAAGGCATTTCGTGTGCTTATTGAGTAGATCGGTGGCCAAGGAGTCATTATGTTAAGTGCTCGTTAGCACCTTTTCAAACGGAGCCCGGCTTCTCCCTCGCCAGCAGCTGTGCAGCTCTTACACCCCAAGACAGCACCCCTGTTGGCCCCGCGCCCCTAGCACGAAACCCGCCTGCCTTAGCAAGACTACAGGGACCTGCATACACGCAGCCCGCAAACAAAGCCTCCATCCCCGAGATTGCCGCCTGGCCGGGGCTGCTCGGCCTCGCAGCCCTGCTTGTCCCAGCGTGATCCCCACAACCCCCGTGGGCCTAAATCTTGGTACAGATGGCAACACTACATGCTGTCCTGGCAGCCGCGATTGCCTCTGGCTTGTTCTAAACCTTTGCACGGAGGGGGAACTGCTCCCCCCCGCCCCTCCGAGCACGGCTGGACCGCGGTCGAGCCGTGCTCGAGTGCGGGCAGGCGCAGGGCCAGGCCCGCTCTGCGCTGCCCGCCCGTCGCGTTGCCCGGTCCGACCCGGCGGCTGCGCGGAGCCCGATGCTGCAGCGGCGGGGACAGGAGGGCAGATCCGGGAGAGGATGGGGACAGACAGGGCTCAGCCAGAGCTGCTCCCAGCAGACAGCTCAGGCGGGACGTTTGGAGACCCCGATAAGCTCTGCTTCTGTCTCTCCCTCGTTACTCTTCTTGGGGTGCACCCTCTGTCCCCACGCAAACCCTGTCACCACGGACGCAGCTCCCCTCCGCGGGTGAGAGCACTGTGTTCTCCTTCTCTCCTACCGAGCCATTTCATCTCTCTCTCACTTCTCCCGGGCTCAGCTGCGCTGGTGCCGGTCTCCCCTTCCCTTTCAACTTCTCCCCATTTGGTCCCGGGCCGGGGCGCTCCCGCAGCTCCGTGAGCAGCCCTGGGGACTGTGTGTGTTGTTCAAAATCCTCTCCGCCCCAAGCCCCCAATACCGCCGGGTCTGGCTTCTAACAGCACGAAGG